CTTAGATTTTGTTTAAATCTAAGGAAAAACTTCTTGATGTTTCTCTATCTCTGGAAGTTTTTAAGAAGAGGCTGGACAGGCCTCTCTTTTAACGAGGTTTAATGGGTGGGTGGGTGAGTGGGTGGGTGGACGGATGGACGGATGGATGGACAGGTGGCCAGGCAGGCAGACAGACACAATGGATGGATGGAGACAGAATACTGGTTGTGGTGACTTGGTTACGCCCCACCAGAGCTTAACTAAGTCTCTCTCCCAATCCCATACACATAGCCATCGAAAGCAAAAGCAGTTGTGAGATCCACAGCTGGTGCCTAAATCCATTTAATAATAAAACCAGGGACTACACTAATCTACAGAACAAAGACGCGAAGTCTCTTTTGGAAAACAACCTTACCCTATCCTTTGCCTTCCCCAAATCTGATCCCACCTTCCCGAAAAACCAAGCGGTTACTCACTTGGAAACCAGGGAAAACGCTTCGGAGCAGATGGCCGGACAAGGGACTAACTTGATGGCGATCCGTCCCAGGGCGGCCGGATAATGGACCCTGATGACAGTATCGAAAGCTGTGGCGATGGTGTTGACGTCCCCCTGCTTGGAGCTTTGCTCGCCACTTCCCGTATCGAGGATGTTGCCTCCATGCAGGACCAAAAGGAGGACGTGGATTTGGCTGGGCTGCGCCAGCGGAGGTACAACTTCATCCTGGAAAGCAGAGAGTAAGAAAGACCAAATTCAGATCAAATGGATTCTTAGGACCGAGCGTGTTTTTTGTTAGAGAAGCAGGAACTCTTGGGTATGGCCCAATTATCTGGAAACTTTCAGATCCCCTGGCATGTTGGTTAGGCTGGGGGGTTTGATAGGCAGAGCCCTTGCGCTACGACCTAAAAGAATCTCTGAGCTCTCACCGTGGTCACCCGGACACTATAAATGGTTTCATTTGCCACATGCGAGAAGAAGACATATAAACACAAAGGATCTGCTGGAACAGTGACAAAAATACACTTGAGTACTTTCCTGGAACCCACTCAATTTTTTTGTATCACTTCGAAGTTCTGTTTGGCACATTGGCACCTTCATTGAATACTGTTGCTCCTACGTGTTTATTCTCCTTATAATTAACCATCGGTGTTGTGCAAAACTTGATGCCCAGAAAACTCCCTTGTTTTTTTGCATGAACAGGATGAAGGGACAGAACCCTAACATGGTTAAGGACTGTATAAAGTTTCCATCCTGAAACCCTCACCATTTTGGCTACACCGAAATCAATGGACTTAAAAAGTATGAGATGACCACCCTTTCTCAAGGCTGAGGGTTATTTCAAGACTCCCTCGTTGCTCAGGAAAGTTACAGCCTGCAAGGAGAGGATTCTGGATGGGCAGAAGGGTGAAACCTAGTCGAAAATAAAGTAGCCAAGAGTGTTTTGAGTTTGCTGAATTTGGGGGTATTTCTGGATTCTGCTTTAGTGCCAGCACTCGGTCACCACTGGTGCGTCCTGAACTTTTCTTCTGCATTTGTCCAACATACATAAAGAGATTCTTGCAAAGGGCCTCTTGGTCTCTAACTCATTCCTCTCCAGCAGACCAAGGGAGTTGCAAATCTACTCAAGCGCCAAAACATTTAACGCTGATGCTCTTCAGATGGAGCATCCAGAGACTAAACTGATTGGAAAGATGGAGGCGGTGGTCCACAATATCTGGAGGGCAATGGCAAAGTGGTCTATGCATCCACCTACAAGTATACATGTACCCCAAGAGATGAGTAAACTGTCTAAAAGTTAGCCTCACTCAGCAGCGTCTCATCTGTGAAGCTTCTCAAGAGAGAGAAAAGGACTAGGAATGAAGATCCTTTTCAACAGACTCTACCATCACCACCCAACATGTCAAAAGCAACAGGAGTGTCCACAGGTGGTGACCACAATGGTGTGATTGCATGCAATGCGCATTAAAAAGGTGTGGAGCTTCAAACACTTTGTCATGGCTGAATTAACAACTTTGCTTTTATGCAAGCAGACTGAATCTTGATGAATTTGGTAGCATCCTCAGAGATCAGACCAAGTTGCTCCAGACCCCATATCCAGAGTCCCAGGTCTTACGGACGCATCATGGAAGTAGGGTATAGAATAGTTAAGTGGGTGGCAAGTTCATTTGCTTTTCAGTAGAGCAGGGCATTTATTTAGATGTTATACCTCAATAATACTTAGCCTTTCCACGCTGCATCCAACATGATACTCCGCTGCTGATTCAAGGCTTGGATCATCTGGAAGGAAAAGGGAGCGGGCCTGTGAACCGGGGTTATCTCCTCCCAGTGAGATACATTTTAGGATTTAATCTGGAGAAAGGTTGAGTTGTGATCACGGCAGCTTGACCAACACTCAGCAAAATCAGAAGAGGATCTTCTGGACCTCCATCTCTCTAGGGGGGAGTACCCCAAGATTCCCCCTTCTAAAGATTCCAAAACCCTTAAATTATATAAAGCCAACATTTTAGACTGTAGCCTAAAACTATAGTCTACCTGACTTAAAAGTTGCCATCATCAACTCATTCCACAAATCTATTACCTGGAACTTCATCGGTTTCTGCCGTTTCAATCTTATCCATGAGATCATTTGAATTCCATTTCGCAATTTCTTTCGGGAACACCTCTTCATTCTCAGACAGGCCCTCTGAGGGGAGGGGAGGGGAGGGGAGG